TGTAGTTTGAGCAGGTTCTTTCACAAGTGCTTTAGAGATACTTTTAAACAGCTGTTAATTGGCAAGAATTTTTTTGTTATGGGCTTTTTTGTTTGGTTGGGTTTGGGTTTTTTTGTTTGTTTGTTTTGTTTTTGGAGGGGTGGGAGAGTGGGGAGTGGTTTTTCCAAGTGTAGTTTTTAAATTAAAAAAATCCCGAACAACCGTAAGAGCACCAAACAAACGTACTGACCAAATGCAGCACATCAACCACTTCATCCAGCGCAGGTCATTCTAGCTTCAGGTGGATCTGTACCCCTTTAAGAATCCAGCAGCCACAAACTAAACTCTGGGCAGAAACTGAATTTTCCAGATACACCTCTACATTTCCAGTCCCATGCCTAAATGCTTTGCTTCTTCACTTTTGTAGTCCTAATAACAAGGTGCATTCCCACATTAACAGGTTGCTGTCACTTATTAATACAGCTGTTATGGAAGACAGGTAATCCTATCACATTTGGGCAGAATTAAATGTCGTAACTGAGGTACTATCATGCTATCTGTGCTTTCTGCTTCCCATTAAGAAATACCTTTACAGCTAAAACAGTAGTCATACCAGTGAGCAATAAGACTTGCTACCTGTTTGTTCAAATGGCTAATTGCATATTTGTATCAGTATCATTGCCTTTATTTTCAACATTATACCATTGCTAAAAAAGAAGCTGAAGACATAAATTCTGTTTCAGTGTTTTTCTTATTCACTTCTTGGCATAGCAATCTCAAAAGCTGTCTCTGAAAGGCAGGGACCAGCCAAGGGAATCAAAAACATTTGCCAGATCTTTCCCTTAACCAGGAATTTCTCAGAGGTGAGTTAGATGCTGGAACTCTTGAGTCACTCACATATGTTACCCAACTGGAGATCAGAGTAACCAACCTCTAGAAGACAATAGCTGCCTCTTTCACAAAGGACCACACTGCAGCCCTACAGATTATGTGCCCTTTAACTGGAAACACTTAGCAAACAGATAACAAAGGAAGCCTTACTTCCCAGCACTACCAACAGATACAGTTTAAAAATCTACTGAGCAGAGAGGTTGCCTTTGGCAAGTACACCACCAGATTTTCAGTTTGGTTCACATTCAGCTAAGTCAACAAGTTTCAGAGGGAGAAAAAACAAACAAACAAACAAACTTACATTATCAGCTGAAACTTCCCACCAAGCCAGTTTCTGAGTTTTATTGCCAGGTCCCCCATCCTCCCAGTACAGCAAGATAAGGAAATCCCGAATTCATTGCAGCTGGCCTGATGAACCTTGTAATTAGGACATGCAGTGTGGTCTTCTAGCTTCTTGAGAGCACTAACTCTTTCACTGCCAACTCATTCTGTCCTGTTACAGCTCAAAATGAGACTCCATTTGAAAGGTATTATTTGTTGTCTGCTTCTCAGAGAAATAGGTTGGCTTTGCTGGTAGCACACTATGAACACAAACAGTCATGGCTTTTGGTGGAATTCGTCAGAGTAGCAGTCTCCTTGCCACCTCCTAGATATGTACCAATGTACTCTAGACCAAAATGAGTCAGGATGCATTTCCCTCTTCCTCTCTATTTTCCTTTCTACTGTCATCTCCCTGACACCATCAACATTCTCTCTGTCACACTGATCATCCCCTGGACATCCCCTTTGAATGTGAACTTAATTCAAAGTTTTTGTTCAAAACTCTTATTAAATATCCCCTTTGCAGGAATGGAAACTCTTAGTAAGGGTTGAATTGCTGATTTACTCAGTTAAGTGCCCCTGACAATAAAAAAAACTCCTGGTTTATGCATCTCAGCACTATTCATTCACCCCTTGTCTTCTACAAAGACAAAATGGATTAAATCACCACTTGCTTTCATCACATTCATTACATGTTCCTGGGCTTTTGCTATTTGATTCCAGGGGCTGGGATGAACGTTCCCATCACCACCCTTATTGTATAACTTGGCTTTCTGGAGTGGCTTTTTTCCTCATCTCCTTCTGAAGAACGGGATATTTCCACAGCTAGCAACAGGATGTAGCACCGTTTGCTCTGCTGCTCTTTATAGCAACTTTCAAGTGGCAGATTGATGTGTTTTTCACATTGACTCAGAGTTAAATTGATTTAAGACAGTTTCCCAGATCAGACTGGTGGGAACTTCTGAAGCGGTTTGCCTGACTCTGTACCAGGAGGGATGGGCTGCATCTTGGGATCATCTAGGAATTTGCCTTAATGAATTCATTGTTCTTTGAAGCACCTGTGACATCAGCAATGTCTGTCTTCTCCTTTATTCTCATCTGCTGGGATGTTATATTTGTCTTTTCCTTTTTTAACACTGGCCCTCAAGATAATTATAGGGAAGTGTTGCATGGTGGTGTATGAGACTGGATGTTTTGGCATGTCCAGCTTCGGCTCATATCACACAAATGCCCTGCCAGCTGAACCAGGTGGCCACTTTCAGAGCCATATGTTGTGCTTTGGCCACAGAGCTGTTGGTGGCTGCTCGAGTTAATGATCTGCTGTTGGTACAGTCTGGAGTCTGATGGGATCCTGCCTTTGACAAGGCTTCTGGCTGCCATGGTTCAAACAAACAAAAGTTTGTAAGGATTTGCTGATGGAGTGGGCAAAACTGTGGTCATTGCAACCTTTACAGTTCTGTATTGAGCTGAAATGTGCCAAGGAGGGTTGGCGGAGGAGTGAACTACGTAATAACCAGTCGTGGTGCCAAATTGCTCCCTTATAATAGGAGTAATAACTCAGCATAAAGGATATGTAGAAAATAAAATAGTCACCACTGTGAGTCATATGTCTAATTCAAAGACCACTGAAGGCAGCAGATAGGTATGTTTTGTTTTGTCACTGTGTTGGCCCTGGAGGCAGAAACAGCAGCCTCCTGATGGGCAGGAGTTTTATATTCTGCATCCCCAGGAGGTGTTCCAGATTTCTGCAATGGGTAAAGAATTTGGGATTTCACACATTCTGTGTTCATACACCCTTCTATGAAAATCAGATAATACGGAATTTGCAAAGTTCCTGATGACTGTAATGCATGTGAAGTACTTTAAGAATCTCTTGGCAAGAGGGGCTCTTAAAAAGAAAGATTTTTTGTTATTCCAAGTGTATGTAAGAGAAAGTGTCTTATAGGGAGACAAGAACTTCTTGAGGACCCTTAATTAATACTATTTTGGTATCCATAACACTTCCCCTTCCTTTTAACAATTTGATGCCAAGAATTTCTCATTCCAGTTGTGTCCAATAAATCCTATAAAATAAATTCCAGTGACCATTGGAGGTATCTTTGGTTGCTTGATGGCTAAAGCAGCTAAAACCTTTTGTTAGTTTTTGAAATAGCTCCTCCTTTTAAAATGTACAGGTTTAAGCCCTGAAACGAAGTGACTGGTTCTCCTCCCAGCAGCCAGAACATCTTGTACCAGCACAGAACGATGCTGTGCTGAGGGTGAAATGATGGGCATTTCAGTGCCAGGACATGTGTGAAGTACCCCATGAGATCAGACTCTACTCTGTGGCCCTTTGAATTGCTCCTGCTGCTGTGCGTCAGCTTCAGCTTTGTAAGAGGGGTCAGTGTAGCTCAGCACATTGTGTTTCACTATAGTGAGGGTGGGTGAAGCAGATTACCTGTATGGCAGGGGCCTGACATTTAGGATGAATTTTTACTTACAGTACACACCATCTGCAGTGGAATGGGATTCAGTGATAGATGCGTCTCATCCAGGTAATTGTGCCTAGAGCTTCCCTATGATTCTTTTGATATGTGACTGCTACCCAGAAAATGCACTCACTGTGCAGACATCCTGAATGCTTGTCATCTCTGAGATAAATGTAATCCAATTTCAGATTTATTTCACAAACTCTCTAAATCAATTTCAGTGCACGTCTTCAATATATGTATAGCATATATAAACATACAAAAATATTTATGACATATGTACTCTACTGAAATATTTGGATTTAATAGTACTGAAAAACAAGGCCTCCACAGAGGCCTTCTTACCTCACTTTCCCATAAGCCAGCAGTAATTCTCTGATGCCAGGAGAATGACATGAGCATCGCGGTATTGTAAGGTGTATCAGACCTAACATAAAGTAAAAACACCCTGTGTAATGCATCCCATCTTTTCAGGGTGGAGAGGACTGTCAATAGTTGGTGCTGTATCTACAGTGATTCATTACCATGTCAGTTTATTTTTTTTAAGCTATTATTTACTTTTTGAACTCCTACTACACAGTTTCTTTTGAGCCTTAACACATTAAAGTGAGTGAATCCTTGTTATCTCCATTAGGGAGATTAACTTTTTAGGTGAGTATGGATTCCCTGCTGTTCCAAAACTACAGAATGGCAATTTAGGAGTGCCTGATTTTGATTTGCAGATTGAGAGAGTGAAGATTCTGTTGAGGTGAAGTACAAAAGCTAGGTATTTACTGTTTATCAGGAAATCTTTAAATCACAGCAGGTTTCCCCTTAGAAAATCCAAGACAGATACAGATCTGAATTTTTCTTATTATTGTTTGAATGTGGGACTCTCTGTTGACTGTCTCATTAACCAAAATGGAAATTAAAAATTACTTTACTTTTTTTTTGGTGTGTTATTTTTATTTCCCTGACTTCAGTATTTTTTGTGTAAGTAGTTCTGTCCCTTTTGTGGGTTGTTCTTCCAGCTTTTTGCCTGCGTATTGTAACTGTACCATAATTGTGGTATGATCAGACACAAGAAAACAATCATTGCTTGGTGGAAAGGTTGGACTAAGTGAACCATGACAAGCTCAATAGTTTTCTCAGCAGTGTGGTGAACAGCTCCATTGCAGTGCCTTCAAGAAGCCTCTTTATTAATTACCTGTATATTGCTCTCCTCAAATATGCAGCCATGTTCTTAATGAAAAAACCACACATTTTTCCTGCTATTTTTATCCTTCCCTTACTCATGTCAGTCTCAGAATAATCATTAATACAGTACTGTGTTTCATGTGACTTTTTTCTTTTTTTATGCAGGCTCTGAGCAGCAGTCTGTACAAGAGTGCGTCGCCTTATGGCTCTCTTAACAACATTGTGGATGGGTTAAGCTCTCTCACCGAGCATTTCTCTGACCTATCCCTTTCTTCAGAAGCCAGAAAACCCAGCAAGAGGCCACCTCCTAACTACCTGTGCCACCTCTGCTTTAACAAGGGACACTACATCAAAGACTGCCCACAGGTAAGAAGGAATAGACAATATTCTGGAAAAATCTTACTGAAAACTTTCACCATTCCTTGATTTAGTAACACAGAATTTGACTGAAATAGTTCTTTAGAGTGAGTAGCACTGAAGAAATATCTTGACAAAGTGCCAAGCTAACTATGTGTTCCTTTAATGTATTCTTTATCTCACTGCTGATGGAAAAAATACGCTTTTTCATTTGCTTAGTAAGAATTACAAAAGATATTAATCTAGGCACATGATAAGTAGATTTTGGAAACTTTAAAAATGGTTACTATGTAATTTTTTTACTATGTAAAGTACATTTTCAAGTAGCACACTGTATAGTCAGATTGGCAATGGCACTTAATAAAAATGTAACAAGTTACATATGCTAAAGGAGAAGAAATTGCTACAATAGATGAAGACTTTGAATCAGTATCGCAGTGACACAGCTCCAAGTATATCTGGTGCAAAGTGTCTTCCGTCTCAAAGAAGAGGTTTGCTATACTTGGCAAATGTGGTAGTCTTGGACTCCCAGAACTTTTTTGTAGTGGCAAAACTGGCAATATTTATTTCCTTTGAAAAGAAATATAAACCAGCGTGCACTAAAACCACTCACCAGTCTGCAAGGTTTTTTTCTGAGGCTCCAAGCCACAGTGTGCAAAGTTTCTCCATCCTCTCAAGTTTCAGCTGGATACAGGCATGTTGCTGGCTTAAACTTTCCCAACTACAACAATATTCTGTGTAGAGTCCCAAGGAAATTAAAGTGCTGCCAACACTCTAGAAATACAGATGTGGACATTTCTAGCATCCACTTCACTATGGCTTTAACTTCCTACCCTCTTAATGTGTGACTTTTAGTAGAATTAATCTGCATAGATTTAACTACAGTTAATTGACTGTTGAGGATGTCAGACATATATAAGCCAAAACACAGGCAGAACAGCATCTGCCAGCTGAGCAGGGTCAGCATGAAATCAAGTCTCATGTCAGATGAGCTTTAGCTGAATGTATTCCTCCTGCTGTCATGTATAGACTAAACTGTTTTCTTCATTGACTTTAGCTATGTATCTTTCATTAATTCTAAGGAAAACTATGGAATTAAAGTATGTTTGCAGTCTTGGGTGTGGCACTTGAAAATATTTTACTTCATATTATTTCAGTATACACTGAATAAGGCAGTCTTCTTTAGGAAAAAATAGAGAATTTTCCTTGCCAGGGGATCAAAAATACTCTTGTTTGTATACTTGTGTGTTTAATATACTTAGTTTAGCATGTTACAGCAAAATGTAGAGATAGGATCATGTGTAATAGTATACGTTACTTAACAAGGGGATTAGAACTACAACTACAGAATATGTGGCAGAGAGAAATAGAGTGCAGTGCTGTGTAAGAAACCAAATGAATGCAACAGGTCCCTTGACGATCAATGCGTGCAAGATGCAGCTTGCACAGATGGTCCCAAGCCAGAGTTGGAGCAGAAATGCATTATTTATATCATAGGTATTTTCACAGTTTGAGGCACTAGAGATTAAAGACCAGTTAATGAAAGCTGAAGACATACCCACAGAAATCCAGGAGATGCAGACAAATTAAGGTTTGTGTAGGAAGATTAATTTATGTAAATTGCACATGCTATGTAATTTTTTTTAAAATTTCACTAGTAATGTCTTCAATCTCTCTGTGAACCAGGAAAAAAACTTCCTCAGAGTGTACTCTGCAGCTGGCCTGTGAGCTAGTAAGTAATGAGTGAAGGAACACAGGACTGGCAGGCATCTGCTTGCTCACTGCACGCGGTCTTCTACAGTTGCAGGCAGCCATATCCTACAGTCCCTTTCGTAAACTGATCAAGTTTTATTTGGGAAGAATTTCAGTGTTTTGCTGATGTGGGAAGCTGCTCCAGGACCTCAGTTCTCTCATAATTAGAAATCTTCCCGTTTCCAGGACAAATGTAACTTATGGCCACTTTACAGTCATTTGTTCTTGTGCCAACATTGTCCTCCACTGAAATAGCTCTTCTCCCTCCCTGGTGTTTATCTTGGGATGTATTAATAGACTGCAATCATATCCTCTCTCAGCATTCATTCTGTAGGACTAACTGAGCCAGGTTTTCTCAGGCTTCTCACAAAAAGTAGACAGGCTCTCTTATTCCCCAGTCCTTCTCATGGCTGCTTTGTGCTTTTCATCTCCTTGCACACGCATGACTATGTGTACATATGGCATCCCAGAACAGATCGCACCAATGCCTTTTGCCGTGTATGCACCTATCAATTTCTGTAGATCAATTTATGTTACTTAAGGAACTGGTGATAGGAAATTCTGATTTATTGGAGATTTCTAACACAAGCAAGCGTTTTATGGTCTGGTTAGCACATAAGTGCTTTCTTGAAAAAGAGACTTAAACGTTCACAGAAACTTAAGCACTTCCCATATTTTATCTAAATTTGAGGACAGATGTACAGGGGATGACCCCCTGTGCAGGGGTTATGTTTAAAACGTTGAAAACATTGTGCACAAGAAGGGAACACCAAGGGCAGGATCAGGCCTTTGTTGCAAAAAAACCCATTTCTTAACATTGCTATTAATGAGAACTGATTTCTTAATTTGAACATTATATGCACTACTTAATAGCTTAGATTTTGATGCTTAGTTTTGCTATTGCTCTCAAAAATGGAAGTTGTTTTGCAAATCCTACCACAAAAGGGCTGTAGCTATGCATTTATGAAGTACTTAAATTTGGATAGGGAAAAGAGATAAACGAATCTGATTTGGACAAAATGCGTATCAGTAAATCATACGGTATTTTTATTTTCTTTTTATGTTACTGCCTAATAAGAAACAGATTTTGAAATGAGGTGTTTTATGGAGTTTTTCCTGCATAACAAAGAAATTGTGTAACAACTTTGAGACTTTATAGCCTCCCTTAATTCTGCTTGTTATAAACACTGTAAAGATGTGTGTTCTTTTTCTGTTGCTGTAACAGTCGATTATATACAATACTGATAAAAGTACATGTATTGGTTCAGATTTATATCTTAAGTGATTATCATATTCTAGGAGGTTAAATATTGCAAACAAAAAAGGCCAGCGTTAGTATCTGAGTACTTCGGGTATCTGCAGTTTGTACAATATCCTGTCCAAAATTATCTGTTTGGAAATTGAAGTGGGACTTAGCAAACTTCTATATTTTAGCAGGTAGTTTGTGTGATGTGTAGTGACAGAAAGTGTGTTTTCTGTTTTAGAAACTATCAGAAATGAGAGCAATGTTATGACTGTAATTCATCATTTCCAATTTGCCTACATTTGCAAAAGATCTTTGTTGCAATTATTGTGTCTATAAAAACCACAGCACTTTTTATCTTTAGTGTCATCTTTATAGCATACCTAGATTTTTACTAAAATAATTTTTGAGTTTCAGTGGTTTGACAATAATATCTTACTCATACCTCTGATGTTCTTTCACATACAGAACTTCCATTAACTGGAATGCACTGAAAATTGTCTAGAAAATAAGGTTAGAAGCAATACTCTTAAACTTACTGTAGTAGCATTCTTCAATTATCATTGACAGTGCCATCAAATATACAAAATATTTCTCTTTAAATAGCATGGAAGGTGAGGAATGAGAATACTTTTCCTATCTCATTTACTAGTGGTTAGTTGCGTGATATATAAATATATACATATATAGTTTTGTCAAAACTTTGTTTACTTATTTGTGTACTCACAGGTACTGTGCCAGTACTCATATGTATGCATGATAACCATAGGTTTTCCTTGGCTTGCTAGAACAGATAATGAGGAGCCCTAGGCCAGCAATAGTTAAGACACATGATTCTTTATGACATTTATTTATCTAGCAGATGTAGAAACTCATAGAAGACCTTTTTTAAAAAGTTACATTGTCTCTTTTTACCCATTATCACTGTAGTCTGTATTTTTAAATCCTACAAAATATAAGCAGTGGGTTTGTTTGTACTATGCACAGCCTATATGAAATGAATCTTGCTCCTTTACAATATAGGGATGTTCCTGACATTACCACCCTCGCATGATGTCATCACCCTAAACTCAGACCTATCGCATAGGTTTAATACGCAAAAGGTACAGAGTAATGGACTATGGCATTAGATACAGTACACATGGACATTTATGAATAACACACCTAGTTCAGGTTCTAAGATGTTGCTGAGTGATTGAACCTCTGCCATGGTTCTTCTTTGGGAGGGACATACATGGACATAGAGCCTAGACTTCATTTATTGCATATGCCATTCCTCTTGTTAATTTGGGCAGTAATGGATTAACAGCAAAGGCAGCAATAAAGTTTTTACTTTAGAGCTCCAGCAAACATCTCTGTATTCAAAGTTTCCAAACTGCTCTACCTTGTGTTTCTGCCAAGCACCAGTTCAATCTACTGGTCTCTCTGTCCTAACTTTTAAGTTCTGTCAAATCCTTTAGTGAAAATGTGTGTGGGCATATTTACTCAAAAAATACATGACTCCAGCCATATTTTTCTGAATGCTGAACAAGGAGACTGTTCTGGTCCCTGTGCCAGTGCCAAGCTCTCCAAACAAAGTCTTCCTGACAATTCCTGTAAATTTCTACACAGGCATGTAGACATCTACGTTATGGAGACTTGGTGAAAAAAAAAACCAAAACCAAAACCAAAACAAAAACCAAAACAGGCAAATATCACTATTCTGCAGTCAAATCCCTGGTGCACTGCAACTGTTTAGACCACTCACTGGGAGATGCAGGACTGTTACACGCTGTGTTTTCTGGTTTTACACTAGACTCATAGACGAAGGTGCATGTGCGTCCTCACAGACATGCAGACATAGTACCACAGATGTATACATAATGAGAAACAATATAAGCCTCATTTTGCACAGCATTTTTAAATCTGTGAATGAAATATATGGCATGATCCATATTAATGAGGCCAACAGTGGAAGTCTTTCCATTGCCAACAGTGATCTTTGAAGCAGATCCTGTAAAACTAAAGTTCCTTG